CCACACCAGAGACACTGATCAGCTGCTAATAATATTTCTGAAATCATACTTACATATTTAATCTGTATTTATTTTTTCAGTTCCCTTGGATTTTAAAAGCAAAGAAACATCTACTCCAAATACTTTCTTTCCTGAATTTTCTAATGTGATTGTGGCTGTAGATGAAAATAGTGAAGCATGCAAGTAAGAAAGAAAAGCAGTGTATATGTGGAAAATTAAATAGGTTATACCAGGAAAGAGAGGCTATAGTGTATTTAGCAAATATGCACCTGGAGACACTACATCAGCCACAGAAGATAACTCTGAACATTTTGGCTTGCATCTGAAAATCCTAGGTAGTTTGAGTAAGATTCATCTATCTAGTAATAGTCATCAACTGTGTAGTCATCTGAGTGAGAACTATTCCCTATGCTTTTTTCCAAAGCCACCTATATTACATACAGTTTGGAGTTGGATGACTTTTTCCCTGTCTGCATCTCTTCATTGAGTGGACAAATGGCTCAGATTTGACTAATAGTTGACTCTGGGTGAATCCCAGCATACCTGATTGTTCCTGGTTTCTTGTGTGCAAACATAGGAGAGATTGCTTGGATTAGACCCTTTTTCTCTTCTCTCCAAAGGCTTTTACAGGGTGATCTAGGCTGCAGGTTCAGGTATCTGCCACCAGTGAACTATTTGGGAACCAACAGGAGGCAACTGGCACATCCAGCTCCTGTCTGTTGGCTCTTTTTTTGAGAGGAAAACACCTACTGGGCTGAGAACTGCTTGACTTCTAGTAGAGAGAGCATAGCAGCATTGTCCTGCACATCGTCCTCTGTCTTGGACATAGGAGCAGTTTATGCTTGAAGTCTCCAGTGTTTTATGACACTTCCTATTAATTTATTTTTGAATGGGTTTTTTTAAAGAAAATGAGGCACGACCAATGCAGATGTGTGATGACAGGAATCATAATGGAAGGACGTACTTTCTCAGTCATTGGTTTCTGAACAGATGAAAAGGGAAGGAATAGCTGTTCAACTGTTTAGTCTTTGTTTTTGTTAGAGATTTGTGCTTGTTTGTGGGAACAAAGTCCATTTTTGTTCCATTTTAGGGAAAGTGAATTTTTTGTAAAAGATAAAACATAGTATAATAGCTAAAAATACAATTTTTTTGAGAACTTCAGCACATTCTATCAAATTGAGATGCAAAAAAGGATTGACATTTCAAAACAAGAGAAAAGTAAGATGGAAGAGAACAGCGTAAACCAGACTGAATAATTGTAACTTCTGGAGTTACATTTTCAGGTGTTTTACTTTATTCTGTGTAGACTCAAAACATGAAGTTACCTGATTTTGTTCATGTCAGTCTAAAGAAATCTAGGTGATGTGACTGAACCTGCTATGAGTTTGACAAAGGGATTTACTAAGCCTGAAAAGCCAATTTAAAAAAAAATATTTTCAAATGAGATGAGAACAGTAAAAAATTAATGACCTTTCCTTTAGCAGATATGTAAGAACAGAGGAAAGATAATTTCTGTGTCCCTCATTTGATCTGGCAAAATCTATGACAGTGTAGGCTAATGAAGTTCACTGAGGGGTCTTGTGGGCTGCTGACAGGGTAGGAACGATCAGAAGTTTTTTAAAAAAAGAACAAGAGAAAATTGTATTAGCTAAAATTATTTAATATCACAGGCGTATAAATAAATCAGACCACATAGTCCTTAGTATGAACATTCCATTCACAGAAATGCAATAAATAATTAAATTAGATGTGTCAATTGGTATAAAAATAAAGAATCTTCTCAGGACAAGTAAATATTATACAGAATTGTATGCTAAAACACATCTTGAAGTGCCTGCAAAGGGCACTTATGACCAAAATCATAAATACATTGTAAAACCTCCCTGGGAGGTAATGAGCTTTTATAAGGCTTACTCTGTGTACTCAGTTAATGAAACATACACTGTTTCTGCAGAGAGTGCAGGTAGTACAAAGAGAGTTCATCTTACAAATAAAAATAAGTCAAGACTGTGTACACATCTGGAATTGTGATAACTTAATCCTTCCTAGGACCACAAGTTCCTCCTGGGGCATCTTCATTTTTTCTCCCGAGAACAGTGTTGGAGAACAAGACAATGTTTTCTTGAAGACTGATTTTCTGTTCTTCATTTGAGATTCAGAAAACACACCCTGAATCACACACTCAACCTTTAATAACTCTTGACAAATCAAAGAGTTAGCATGAAGCTTCAACACTCTGTGAGGCAAAGTGTATTTGAAGTATACAAAATTGCCCACGATGATTGTAACGACACTGGCCAGAAGTGTGGTGGTAACCAAGATCAGATGTGATAATTTTGTGCTTAATATTTCCCATATATATCAGGACTGAATTGTCCAATAAATGCTATGTTACATTTGTTACAGTTTTTCACTATTTTTTTGAATCCTATGAATGAGCATTTTGGATTAAGTTGTTTTGCAGGTACAAGAAATAGCCTCAATTAACAAATGAGTATATTACATTTAAAATAACAAAAAAAAAACCTTTAGCAGTATGCTTGGTGTGATAAGACCCATAGTCACAAAACAGAAGTAGCTACATTACTTACTGCATTACATGCTACTTTGTGTACAAAACCCAGACCTTGTTCCAGTGTAGGCAGGAGTAATTAGTTAGCTTATGACATTGTGGTAGGAAATTGCTTTTCTGTTGTAAAATATCCATCCTAGGTACAAAAGTTGCTTCTCAATGCTTTGTAATGATTACTAATAAAAACGTAACGTACACTGTTCTTTTTGCTAGGGCGTGCTAATCACGTTTGATATGCGCAACAAGAATTTTAACAGGCTCTTGTAGAATATTAATCTGAATGCACTTAGCATAGTACTGGAAAAGACATTTACAAATAAAAAAATAGATACTGTATTCTTTGTATAAAAATAAAGCTCTTTCTCCAAAACTCTGCACGTGCAAATATTCCATGGAAATGAATGAAAAGTGCTGGTTTACTTGGTTGGCCTTCTAGGGCTCACCAGAAGAAGCACTTAGCTCATGATCAAGGCATTCAGTTAAACTCCTCCATAAAAATTTAAATGTGACATTGTGGAAACATCATCAGGTACTCTGCGGCTGCAGCACTTGCTTTAATATTTTCCCAGGTTTTTTAAATCCAAATCTGAAATTTTTATCCTGACTTTCTCTACTTCTGTAACTTTACAATTCATTAATTCCTTGCATTTGGAACAGCAGCTTTGCATATTGCTTACCAGTTGATGATTAAGGGACTTTGTGGGTAGCAAAGGCAGAGAAACGGAGCTAAAAGGTGCAGAACACCATCTAAACTTAGTAGCTTGTACTACCACTCATATGTAAGTAATCATGTTTAGAATGTTAATTCTCATGTAGTAATGTGGAAACACTGAGGTATGAGACAGAACATTACTAAGAGGAAAAGCAGGTTTTGAGATAGAAAAAGAAAAAAAAGACAATCTAAATCAAAATTGTCATCACCAGAAACAAGGAGACTTCACTGTGGAAACTTGATTTGTTGTTGCCCTGAGGATCTTCCTTCCACCTCTGACATGTTTTTGAGGAAGTTCACATTTCAGGACAGCGAAAATGTGGAAACAAAAAAGCTTTTTGTATTAGTTTTCCTTTAGGCTGACATTAGTAGGAATGGAAATATTTTTAATACTACCTCATTATTTTTGGAGGTAACTAAGCTTGTAATTTTCCATCATAACACTAGATGTAGCTTTCCAGTTTGCTCTCTATACCACTTTTCTACTAAGTAGAGAGAAAATTAAGATGAAAGGCTAATTTTTACTGGAAGGCTTTACACTCTCTTCCAAGATCAGTTTCCTCATGTGGGGCTAATATCTGTTTGTTGATAAATTAACATTTACTTCTCAGATGGAAGAGTCTAGAGGTATGGAATCATTGCAGTCAGAATATGGTGGTATATAATGAAGCTGCTAAAAACTTGTTTTGAGTGCTGTGATACTCACTTTTATTTTAAAAAGTTTCAGTGGTATCTCTGACCATAGTTCCACAGAAATGTTCAGAATTCAGAAGCTGTACAGGCAGCTTTCCACATAACAAAAAGTTTTCAAAGAAAAAAATGCAGTTAAAACTTAAACCATTAAAATGAAATAAGAGTAGAGAGAAAGAATAGTGTTAATGGTGTATGAATATGAGTGTAAAATACTGGGTTTTGGGAAGGAGCAATATGCTTTTAAGCTGCTTCGCTCTGAATAATCAGTTACTGTATTTGTTGGACCTTTTGCAGTGGCTGGTCATAGCAGCCAGCCATGCCTCTGCTGTATTTATCATGTTAAGTTGAGGGAGTCTAGGTGGAATTCCATCTTCTGAAATGTGTTTTTTCCCACAGAATTCCGTATCTCTACTTAGAGCACGTGCATTATTCCTCTCCCTGTTGAACCCCATGGCAAATATGCTATTAACTTCAAGATGCCATACGGTATGATTTGTAAATGTTTTTCCAGTATTTATAAGGCAGTTAAATGCAGGATATTTTTCCATGGTTAGCTAAGATACAGTCAAATAACTTACAATAAAATTGTGTGTGTGGTATAACTGTAGATAAGGACATCAGTCCACATAGATTCTTTCTGAGGCTTCAAAGCGTCTAATAATTTTTTTGTTAATTTTCTTTAAAAAGTTTCAGACATCTCTGTATGATATTCATTTAAGATTAAAGCAAAAATACAAAAGTAGTCATCTCCTGTATTTCTGTTTCAGCAGAAGGTGATAGTTAAGTCCCTTAAGAGAACCTGGTTTTGTGAAATTACAATTTAATTTTCACTATAGGGTGAGGCTAAAGATCACTTTCAAAACAGTATCCATCTTATGAATAGCCATCCAAATTAGAACCCCTTAGTATTTTGGAAGAGGCTTTCACTTACCACACACAGAGAACAGCAAAATAGCAATGGAAGATATTTACATTTCTCATGTTGTCTTAAATAACATAGTGTCTGCTTTAAATAGTAGATTTTCAGTAGCCTTCAGCTCTGGTGTGTCCTGTATTAGTCCTTGAATAACTGTAAAAACAATGCATTGTTAGAAATAGTATGAAATAAGGATATCTGTAATTGTTTGCAAAATGTCAAAAAGCACCCAGGAGGAATCAACTCTGATTACCTTTTGGATTAGTTTTTCAAAGCTCTTCAAAAACTCTTTGGGGGTTTTTTTCTCATAAGATTCACATGAAGACTCACACTGCTGGAAGATAAAGAAAATCATGTTGCTTTTAAACAGTGCATCTGAATCATAACTAATACTTCAAGCTTTCTTACTGAAAAATCAAGAGGGTTGTAATCAAAGCCTTTTATAAATGGAAAAGCTGGGACAGGGTATTTCAGGAAGGCAAAGAATATAGTAACGACACCTTTCATTGACATCTTTTGCAGTAATCCCTGTCCTTTTGTCTGGCACATTGTGTGATTGCCAAGTGTATGCATGCAGTTGGTAGGATCAGAGTGAACACTTCTCCCAGAAGTGCAGAAAATTGGACATTTTAAAAATTCCCAAAGTAATGAAAAGCATATGAGTTTTTGTAAAAGTTTGCTTTCTATAATTCCACCATGGTGGGTGGTGTCTGCTGTAGAAAATAAGGAGCAGTGATCACGATTATGAGCATTGTGAGGAAATCCTACCTTTCCAGAGTCTCTGAGGGTGAATTTTTTCAAGACGGTAATAGCTTGGATGAATGTGGAATTTACTTCGCTGTTTTCTGGTTGTAATTTCAGTGTGCCCTTCTGGAAGCAGGCCACAGCGGTGAACAGGCATTCGTCCTAGGGCAAGAAAAGAAGGAACAATTTTAAAACAAACGTTGCAGTGTTTTTTCCTGCATGTGTTAGGTTGTGGTCCATGTGCAAAAGTAAGTATCCACGAGACATTTCAACTGTGCTCTTTTTTCTTTTTTTTTTTAAAGTTAGTTTTAGATAACGCAAGAAATCTTTAACCTTTACTCTGCCTGTTCTTTGATAATTACTTAAATATTTATTCATAAAATAAATGCCTAAAATGTCCATTTGGATATTAGTAGTGACAGCTGTTGAAAGAAAATGCTGCTGAACAGTAGATCATGTTATGTAGTAAATTTTCACACACACGAGTATTTTCTTTTTAAAAGATTACGACTACCACTCTGGACGTTTCCTTAGTGCCACATGTGGGAATATACCTTTTTCTTCCTAATTTTTATGCCATTTCTAATATTACCTACTTAATAATTAGAATTGATGTAGAACTACATATTTTCAAATACTATTGAAATGTTCTCACTTGATAGCATGGAAAGTGATGGTGATGAAGTAAGTTAAATTACCTTATTAAAGGGAAAAGAGGGATTGAGGACGAGAGGCAGGATAAAGAGCCAGGCTCTGGCTTGAATTGTCTTACTGTGTTGCTTTAAACCCAGGTGCACATTAAACCTAAGTCAGGGAAAGTAAGTACCATCTGTATCTAACATGAAAAAGAAGCAATCTATTCTGATGATATAAATTTTGTGCTGCTGCTGCTTATCTGGTATTAAAAAGCAACCTGCCGTTTTCCTTTCACATTGCAGCTGCGTGTCAGTTTTCCTGATGCTAACAGACACAAGCTCTCCAGAGTCCTTTCCTGCGCAGTGGCTGTTTCCTTCGCTAGGCACACAGCTATGGAAAGTATCACCAAAACTAACCCATAGTCAACAGAGAAAGAAAATCAGTGTTTACTGAAGCCAATTTCTAACTTGCTTTCTGTTTTCCAAAGAAGGAAACATTTAGAACTGCTGATTACACATACTAAAAAGGCTACAATGCCATCAGCCCTGTTTTGCATACCAACTGCTGCCGAAGCTGAATCTTGTCTGGTTTATTAGATGCCGCGGCAGTTTGCTGCTTTGGCAAGGACAAGACAACCTTCATGTATGTTGCTTATAGCAAATTTTAATAGCAACATTTTATATTGGTTAGATATAACATTTTATTTTCCTTAAAAACCGCACATTTATGTTTGTTTCAAGCTTCTTACCGTAACAAGTCTTGCTTACTGGAAAAAAACCACTCGTTTTTAAAGAGATCAGTTTTCCAGCTGAAACTGAAAACATTTTCTGCCTCATCCGTGATGAGCTGAGAAACTAGCATTTCTCATATATGCTGATTTTTTTTTTTTTTTGCTGAGTTAACAGTTAGCTGTAGACAAGCCAACAGTCAGAGGACCACAAGGATTGTGGGGTTTAGTGTGTTGTGATGGGTTAAGCACTTGGATGAAGAGTCATTAAAAAGCATAGACCACTGGTAATGTCTGAGAGGGGCTATGCAAACACGTACAGTTTTATATCCGAGGCAACTTGCAGCAATACTCTGCATCTGACTCTAACTTTACAGATTAGGCTGAAAAGCCTTCACTTCCTGAATTGGTGATCAGCAGGGTTAGATGCTGATCCGATGTAAATCAGCATTGAGTCAATGGCTTCAGCTGTTATGTCAATCACCAGCAATAGATCTTGTTTTCCCTCTGATCTTGAATCACTTCAGCCTTAAGACGACTTTTTCAGCTACAGCATGTTTTCCCTTGAGTCGATGTCCTCTGAGCTTTTAAACTTTTTGCCTCCCTTTCTTTTTTAAAAAAAGATATTTCATTGTTGAGCGTACAGAGGAATTCTGTGGGATTGAATTGGAGCTAATACTCAGTCCACTCACAGGAGCCTCAAGGAAGTCAAAACATAGGGTGATAAACCGCTGAATTTTGACTATTATAAAAGGTAATCTTCATGAATATTCAAGAAAAAATGTAAATCTGGCATAAGCAGGTTATCACAGAAACAATATTTTGCTATTTGAAATACAGTTATATGAAAGACTTTTTATTAAATCCAGTTTCATTAGGGTATAGTTGCACCTAATCACCCCGAGTGCAGCTTTGGCACACTGTAATTCATATCTTAGTATCTGGACAATTCAGGAAATGTAAATTTCACCCTGTAGGATGAAAAGTTTGTTAATGTGGTTGCTGGTAATAATTACTATTAACACACTAATTTACTCATTTAAGGTTTTCAGAGAGATTGAACCTATATCAGCTTAGTACCTTCTAAATATGTGAATTCTGTATTTTTCAGCGGAGGTACGTGGGACCTCCCAGAATCAGACTGTAAAGCCCTAAGCTGCAAATGAACTGTTGTCTTCCTTCCTGAGGTGACCATGTTTTTAAATTAAAAAAACCAAAACTGATTAAGCGATTAGTCACTAGTTGTATTTGCTTTGTTTCGGAGGTAGTGACAAATGCTGCAGTAAAATGACAGCTAATCATCTCCTTCTTTTCAGTTTGACACCAGAAGTTAGAAAGAGTGTTAATGAAAAAACCCAAGCAATTAGTTAGGGTGCATTAGGTTTTTTCACGGCAGTTGTTTCTAGCAATGAGAAGAAATGTATCCGTTTTGGTCATGCCTCTATATGTTTTTGGCAAGGAAAAAAATGCACCCAACTGTAAAGCCTAGGAGGAAGCTAACAAAACCTGTGTGAAGTGAGGTGAGTTTTTTTTCTTTAATTCTTGTTGTTGTTTTGCGAGAGTTTACAGTCCTGAGTAAACCTGAGTACACTCTGGGCATTTTTCAAAAAACTATGCATAATGATCATTTTTATATGTCGATCAAAATTGCTTTCTGAAATAGTTGTCAGGACTCAAAATTACACGTAAATTTAAGACAGCTGGTAACAGAAGTATGGCATTAGATTACCACAGCTAGCTCTAGACCTTTGTTGCATGTTGGGGTTTATCAAAAGAAAGCAGGATACATTTACCTTCTAAGCTTTTAAGACATGTTGGTACTATTATTAGCATTTAATTTTGTGGTAAATCTTGAGCCCTGCCAGTTTTGAATACGCACACACTTTCTGTGACTCTGGTGTAATTTACTACATCTAAGAAGTTCCTAACATTGGAACACACATTAAATAATGTATAAAATAAATATCTGTATTAAAAAAGGATTCACAAGGACCTGTTCTTGTAATTTTAACTAGTTATAATCTAAAGAGAATACTTGCAGAATGCAGTTTTATCTTCCCATTGATAGCACAACCCTTGAACACGTGTAGTCTCAGAGAAACCAGTGGGACTACATAGGAGAGAAGGTGCTGTGTAATACGGCCTTACAGTGCCATTCCTGGCATTTAGCTTCAGTGGGAGGGAAGGCGGTTCCCTTTGGGTTCAGCACAGCAATGCTCCCAGTGCGGCCAGAACTCATGGCAGCTGGAGACACTTCCACTCCCAAAACCTGCAATCCCAAGAGCACTGCTGCTCGTCTGGATCTTGTATGAATCCTCACTCTTAGCACCATTTCTTGAGTAACCTGAATGCATACAAATTTGAATCTGTGGGTGTGTTAGAACACACATGATAACAAAATAGTAATTAAGATTACATAATATAAATGCTTCTGCTATTAAAAATTCATAAATAAGGAACTTTGATAAAAGTATTTTCTTACTCAGTCTAGCTTGCATTAAGAGTACTAGGTCAGAGATAGGAAGAAGGTGGCATCTGCTATTTGTCAATGGAATAAACCAGTACAGAATCAAATTGATTTAATTGAAAAGAAATGTTAAAGCAATCTCACCACAGGGTTTTCTGGTGTATGCAGCAATTCAACATCCTACAATAAAACAAATCTAAATTAGAAAAGTTTAACATTTAAAAGTGATGTTTCTCACAAAGTAAGTTCTAAACAATATATAATGCTTGAAAATCATCTCAATATTATGACAAATACTTTACTTACCTTATCTTTCACTGTGTTTTGTAACCGTGTAATTGTCTTATGAAGCTGTCTGTATTTTACTATTTTGTATGGAGCTGCAGTCAGCGCCATGCTGGAACAGAAGAAAAGCATACAGAAAATAATCATCCTCTCCATACTGATGAGTTTTGTTCTAAAATGCACCAGGAACAGAGTTGTGCTATTCAAGATGAACACGTCAGTTTGAGCTGTGCTCAGGTATGCTACGTACCTACCTATATATTGCTCCTTGCTGAAGATGTAAAACCCACCCATTTCAGTTTGGAAAGCTTTGTAGAATGGATTAATGAGTAACCCTTTTTTCTTTTCCACTGGCTAGGTGCATGTATGCAAGTTTGTGCGTAGGGGGCAGGGATTGATGGAGTGAACAAAAATGTGCCCCATCTGCACATTGGACAGGAAAAAAAGAGAAAAGGGTGAATTCCCATTTTCACTTTGAGTCAAGAAATGAACGTAGTAAAAAGTAGATACTTAGAAACCACAGATCCAGGTAAACAAAGATTCTGCATTTTTTTCCTGTTTCTTACAGCAATAAATCGCTCAATCTTATCTGAAGTTCTTCTGTACCATGCTGGAGAAATATGACAGGACTTCTTTTGAGAACTTAAATGTACTTATCCTACTTTATGGCTCCAAACAGAGCTGTAGTTTGTTAGCTAGTTCTTAGCTTGTTTTCTATGACAGCTGTGAGTGAAAGCTCATGATAGCATTTAAGCCAGCTGAAGTTTGCTTTATATTTAGTTGGAACCAGTACCAGAATTTTAACAGCATCACAGAGAGTATGTCTGCTGGGGGTAAAAGTTGCAGGGAGATGCATTGCCCTGGGAGAGGGGGATGCCCATACCATGCCTGTTCCCCGGGTGGGAGTGGTACTGGAAGATCAGGGACTAAATCCTGGTGAGTCCCAAGGGTTGCTACCACTTTGCAGCTGTGCTCCAGTGCCTGTGGCACACATTCAGTTGCATTCTGCAGCAGCTAGGCTTGAGGTTAGTTTTGCAATTTAATGTAACCCCTTCAAAGGAGACGTGATACTGAGACCTGAGAATTCTTTTGAGAATGTAGAAGTGCATTTGTTTTGTGTGAAATCAAAACAGAAGTGCATACGTTAAAAAATGTAAATTCAGAATAACACCAGTAGAATTATCTAAATTAAGAGATAAGGTAGACTCTTGTAATTTTCTTTAAAATTGATGCCAGTATATATGCTGCTTTTGAGGAAATTTATTTAATATTTAAAAGATGTGCATTAGTGAAGGTATTTTTTTCCCTAGCAAATGCTGGTAAGGAGTATTTTCTTATGGGGACTTCCACAGTTGCTTTCTTTCTAAATGACTGAGACTGAAGTTAAAGGTATTTACAGGTATTCTTCTCGAGTATACTCCTTTTTTCATATTAGTTGCCTTCAGCCCAAGTGCAGTTTCTATTACTCTCACTGAGCTGCACTATTCTCGGTAAGGCTCTCTGCAGGCACTAGGACTTACTGGACTGCCAGCTCTAGGAATCAGCTGATTTTAAAATCACTGTTCTTAATATTTCATCCAAAGGAAGAAAAAAAATCTACTTTAAATGACTCATATGTATTATTATTAAATAGTTTGGCTCTTATGTGTTATCATTAATATGTGGTTATCAACACTGTGGTATTACCATTGAGAGGTTCCTGTGTGGAGTAAGTAGAGGGCAGTTAGAAGTCACTTGGACAGTTCACTGTGGTGAATAAAAAGATGCTCAAGTGCCTTTCAAATTAAATCTTTGCTTCTGGAAGTCTGAAGATTTCAGATGGCTTTGGAGATGCTTTACAAAATCTACACAGCGTTTGAACTTCAGTTTGGTGTCTAGAGCACTAGTATGTGTGATATGCTGACATAGAAGAAAAGGCACCTGTGTGTGTGTCTGGTGGGTGAATCTGGGCAGCCAGGCTGGATCATGTATTTCTCAATGTTCATTTCAAAATGAGCATTTAAGCTGGTAAGAGCTCTGTCTGGCATACTCAAGTGTGTTTGTTTTCTGTATACAAATGATTATTTACTGTACACTGTTTATGTGCTTAAGCCATTTCTAATCTTTCAGAAAATTGATAGCTTAAAGGAATAGTGTAGATATACATAACGCACTCACACTCTCATGTATGCATGCACGGAATCTCTTCTGGTGAAAGGGATAGCTAATCACAACTGATAGCACAGAAATCCTAAAAAATGAGAACTGAAATAAGTAAGAAGGATACTTTCTTCTACCACATAATCTAAAATATAGTTTCTTGAAGAAAAGGTGGTGTAATCATTTATTTTTCTTTATTTCTTTTGATGGACATGTCTTTAAATAACTTTAGATAAGGAGTGCAGCTGGACTGTGAAGTAGGGGTTATCTCAGTAGGTTTTATTCAGAAGTAGTGTTAGTTTATAACTATGGTTCATTAATGGAAATCAGCAGCATCTTTTGTTTGAGAAGCCATGTGGTGACTAATACTTATTTTTATCCCCCATCCCATCCGTGTGAAGCTTTGCAAAATTTTTTTAATCTGTTGTTCAACACCTCCATTAGGCTGCTGAGAGGATGGAGAGATTATTTGTGATAGTGGTATTCTTTACATGAAGAGGGTACTTACCTCTGCGCTTCTTTACCATAACTGAACCTTGATCTTCTCTGGAGGTTATTGGCTAGTAACTTGGATTAATGTGCATTGAATTTTCAATCCAGTTTTTGACTATGTTGTTGGAAGTGTTGATAGTCAAGGAGCAGGCTGGTGATAATGTCTGCTTCTGCTTTTTATTGTCAGTATTTCAACTGTGAATTCTTTTGGGAAGCGACTTTGAGCCCATCTACTGTAGATGATTGTACTAACCCTGTCAGCCTTTATTTTGTGCATCTTTATTTGGTTGATAGGTTGGAAGATTTCCACTTGGATGTGGAGTGTGACTCTGTTAGCTCTCTCCTCATTAGGTGGTTGACAGTTACTCATGCAAAGATACCACTGCAGATGGTTTGCATTGACCAGACAATGCCAGGACCACTCAAGAACTTCAGCTAACGTGCAATATGACTGTCCATGTATTTTCAGAAATACAGGGCTTGAAGGGACAACATTGACTTCTGTCATGATACAGCCACATTGTACAGTGACTTTATCATATCAACTAGAAATGCTTCACCTATTATAGACTAACATTGCATTTTTCTTTGTCCTTGGTGATTTGCTAGACAAGAGTAGGCATAACAGTATTCTGGATATAGCTTTGTCTCTGGGAGTCATTTCCAGATACAGGTTGTGGTCTATATGGCCACACATAACAAGACCCTACAACTCCATAATGGAATCATACCTGTGTAGCTAACAACCATTTTAATGTTCATCTTTTGTTTTTTTCATAAACTTGTAATAATTAAAGATCTGATGCAGTAACCAAGTCTTAAAAGAGTGCTGCTTCTGGAGATAAAATCTGAATAACAAAAGACTGAGATAATCACAAGGCTCAGCATGTTATTAACCTGGACAGTCCTGAGATCCTGTTGCTTTAGGAAAGAAAGAAATATAATGACTTCATATTTAAGCAAAGCTGTTGTTAGGCAATGATTATTCCTTCATGTTTAGGTTTACTTAATGATCTTTACAACTGGCTTAGAGTGGACTGATGGCTGGCAGTTTGTGTGTGCTGCTCATCATCCTAACAAGACAAACCTTGTACAGCACTGCACTGCACAAGGTTTATGATGTTAGAGGAGATAAAAAGGTTGATTGTGATGAAGACTGCTGTATATTCCACAGTAAAACCTACTGTGTGAAAGAATGGCTGTGCAATAATACCAATTTGGGCAGTAAGGGAAGCGCTGTCATTTTCTACCGGAGGCATCACAGAAATACGGCAGATTTTATTCAGTTGCTGATCCAGAAGGATAATTCATGGATTTGGTGGAGGCAAACCTCCATCAAATTCATGGGAGGTGAAATGGCTCTAACTGAGATATTCCTCAATTAAATCCGTTATATCAGAAATCAGTTTTAAAGTTGGTGGAGTAATTAGAATGGGAAGCTAAACAATAGGTATTTGGCAATGAGGTAGCAGGTGGTTGCATATCATGTCTCTCAAACTCTGTAGTCTTCTGGTTTGTGTTAAGAGGCTTTAAGGTCACAGTAATTGCTTGAAGAAAGACATGCTGACAGAGAAAGTGAAATATAAGGACAGAGAAGAACTTCCTTTATGTCTAGGCAGTGGAGAAAACTCCTTGATATCCCTCTTATCAGATAAGAGTGAGCAACATGCTTTTAATATACGTCACTTCTCTTTTGTGGCTTAGGAACATGCTGAGTCAAATAATGACACTCTCTCGCACCGTCTCCTGCCTGGCCCCAGAGGGACGGCTGCAGAGTGGAAATCTGAAAAACCTCCCATCCTAGGCCCGCAAGGCTGAGTCCTCATCTTTCCTCTTTGCGACAGTGCCACCCAAGTGCTGAATGACTTCGACCCTGAAAGCCCAGTTCCCCCACCCACATTTTCCTTTACAGCATAGCTGAATGGAGGCTTTTCCCATAGCTTAGTCATTGCTATGGCTCAACCAAAAAAGCCTGTAATGTACAGGGCTGCTTTCAAAGAATTTTTATAACTTATATATGTGAAATTTCATGTGTATACTATCTGCGACTTGGGGGAGGGGGGGTATTGCAGGAAAGCAAGAGGAGGGGATTATGCTGGAAAATGGGAGACTAGGAAGAAGTCTCCTGTATAACAGATTTAGGAAAACTAGTCTTTAAAATATTTCTGACAACTTTGCAAGTTAGTTCCACCCTCTTTCAATCTTATTTTCTTATAAACTTTGGTAAATTATTCTGTCTTTCAATCTTGCTTTGAAAAGAGAAAATCAAACCTGGAAAAAAAATCCATTCCTAACCTGTTAATTGTATTTGCTATGAAAGTCAGAGTAAATACAACTCTGAATGTGGTGACATAGACACTGAAAAATCAATAGACTACGTACGACAGTATAAAATCATTGACATTCGCCTCCAGAGTTAACATAACCGTTTTTTATCTATACTGAAGTGGGTCTAACATTGGCTAATAAAAAGATCCCATACAGTAAATGAAGGAATTGGAGGAATAAATGGAGGTCTTACAGGA